AGTTAATAAAAAGGAGACTATATTGGATTGAAAAAAAAAATTCTATTTGCCGCAATTCATATTTAAATATTTAGGTAATAAAAAAGCATATTTTATATTGAAAATAAAAATATGTATTTACTGCAATCCATATTTAAATATTTAGGTAATAAAAAAAGGACTCTAGTGTATGGAATAGAAAGATGTATTTTCTAAATTTCTGTTAGGGATAAACGTTAAATTTCGTCAAGACATAACAATATATAAACATAGTATTCAACTAGAATACATATTATACAATTGTTTTCACATATTAAGCGTATTTACGCGAATTTGGCCTTAAATACCCATTTCTTGGTTTCTCAAAAATCTTTTTAGTCGCAGTGGTACAGCTTACTCCACGCTGACGATCGCCAACAGCGCGAAACGCGTTCGTGGATGGCTTTTCTTGATTTATCAAGAAATTGGGTTGGCTAAATATCAGGGAACAGGCTAAATCAATGCTTATTTGATTTCTGTTCCACCAGATGGCGCTCTGCCTTCTGTAAAGCACATGTGCTCCTGGTCAGGATATGACTTCTTTATTTTTAATAGTATACAACGTAATAACGTAAATTATTATGGAATAAGTTGTTATGCCTTGACGGCATATGGTCTAGTATCCACTCATAATTTCAACGGTACCTAAATTAGCTTTGTGTGTGTTATTGTATGAATGTTTGTTTGTGTGTTGTTATGTGTGTTGTTGTTGTGTGTTTGACAAATAAAACAAATTTATTCACAACTCAGTCAATATATACAAAAAGAGGAAGAGATCACAAAAATAATTAGAGAAAATAAAAAAGATAGCGAAAAGTGTGTTCGAACCAGGGACATCAGGTTCTAAAGTGTAAAACTTTCACAACTAGGCTATTTTGCCTTATTATTTATTGTGTTTGTTTGTGTGTAGTATGTGTGCTGTGTGTTTAGTATGTGTTATATGTGTTGTATGCTGTGTTGATGTGTGGAAGATCATAATATTGAAACTTTAGCGAGGCCAATTCACAGGCATCCATATAATAACCCAATTAAAATATTTAGCTTGATATCAAATTACGAAATTAACCGTTCGAGAAGCAAAAGTCACACAAAAAATTGACCTTTAAAAGGTCTCCATTTTCATTTAAATAAATTATCCATGAGAAAATAATCGATAAATTAATAATTGCTATTGCCATGAAGATGTGAAACGGTTAAAATGACAAAATTAAGTTTTCCAAAAATAAGGCGACAGTGTGGTGTTGTGAAAATATCGTAAATAAAGAATTAGAAAAGTTGTATGTTTAATCAAATTTAGGAATCCAACCAGCAAAAATGGTTTTTCGTTCATACCTTTTAATGTTATCTTTAAAAAACGAAAATAATATATTCAAAAGAACACAAATTTTACCTATTTATATTGAAAAATTGTGTATAATTTTAGAAATATTTTGTCCGCCTCAATCTGTAAATTGTTCAATTAATAGATGAGGTCCTTCTCTTCTCACATTATTAGCATAAGCTGAAAACTAAAATTGGTATTGAAAACGAGATGAGTGATTATAGAAAATAATGCATATATATGCAAGTAAGTTTGTATGTAAATCATTGGGCATATATGCAAATATTTATTGAACAAACACCAAATATCACTTACAACTATCTATTAGTAGAAGCATGGTGTTTCTTACACCACAAATGTATTTACAAATGACAAGCACACACGAACTTGAAGTTAGAAAAGAAAATTCAACTAGAAATACACCAAAAAATGACGAAAACGTTGATGAAACGATGTTTTAAAAAGGTAGATGATGTCTCTTTAAGCCATGCAGGTCATTCCGATCAACCGTTCAGCCTTATGCATGCTCAGCTCCCTGCAATAGACACGTACCAGTGAGTAGCCAGCTACCAGCGTCAAAGCAATGGCCACAAAGTACAAAATGATCGCAGCGTCCCAGCTTGCTTTGACGACAAAGATGATGAGATGGACGTGGATATGGATACTGCCCAGGATAAGGAAGATCAGTTTGTAGATGATCCACGAACGTCTGCTTCTGTGGATGCCGGAGACGATCAGACAGAATAAGGTAAACTCCAGGATGAGCAGAATGAAGATGATGGTATTGACAATGAGATTCATATTTTCAGGCACTACCAGTGTCTGGTCACTCCCGTATAGATGATCCGTGGCTGTAAGAAAGATATCTACATGAAATCGATAAAAGTAAACAAATGGTATCCAAGAATTGATGTGTTAAATAGAGGTCGTGCAAGAACATCGCTCGGGCCGCTCGCACGCGTGGATACCTCATCGCGTAGAAAATATATTTATTTTTGTTTTTTTTTAATTAAAGGTGCCACAAACAATTTTCTATACAATGCAGAATATATACCCTCATGGACAAAACTTAAGGAAGTTATACCTTTTAGCATGTATATCGGGATTCAGACAATAATAACGAGAATCACGAAATTTCTCTTAATGAATTATAAAAAAGCTATAAAACGAAGAGAAAAAAATTATTTTAATAAAATGCATAGGCTACTAGCTTTCGGGCTCCAAGCCCTTCAACGGGTACAACATATTGAGAGAAAATAACGCTATATATAGATAGTATCGATATGTGAGGAATCTGCATATATAACTATGTATGAGGTAAAGATATCAGATTAAGTTATGGAAATAAGGCTTTTTTAGAAATATTTGACGACATTAGGATATGATATTAGTTAAAAAATTATATATGACAGATTTAGCATACCATAAATAAAACTATTGCAATTAATAAGAGAACACATGATCATCTCTGGATGACAATCAACTTTAAATCAACGTGACGCTAAAATAAAAAACCTAATAACAGTGAGGGAATTATGGTATGGCCCGCCATCAGCGTAATCATCAGACTATGAAAACATAGGGGTCGGTGTTTGGGTGGGGGGTGGGGAGTTTGTTTGCGGTGGGATTGATGGCAAGGTCAGGGAAGAGAAATGAACGGCCTAAAGGTTATTACATATATCTAGGTACTGCAATGGTATGTCGATGTGTCTGTTAATTCTATGGTTACTGATGGATAATATAGCTTCAATAATTAGCCTTTGATACTTGGTGTTGACATTAGAGTATAGGGTGGTAGGGGAGGAAAGGTTGAATGAGTGGCCGGTGGTGTTAATATGGTTGAATATAAGCGATCTATTGTCTTTGTTTTATAATTCAGACAATAACTCTGAAAGATATTACAGTCACCTTTATTGAAAGACACACGAGATAACTAATATACACTCATGGACAAAACTTAAGGAAGTTGTACCTTTTACCATTTATATCGGGGTTCAGACAATAACTCTGAAAGATATTACAGTGACCTTTATTGAAGACCCGAGATAACCAATATACACTCATGGACAAAACTTAAGGAAGTTGTACCTTTTAGCATGTATATCAGGATTCAGACAATAACTCTGAAAGATATTACAGTGACCTTTATTGAAGACACACGAGATAACCAATATACACTCATGGACAAAACTTAAGGGAGTTGTACCTTTTAGCATGTATATCGGGATTCAGACAATAACTCTGAAAGATATTACAGTGACCTTTATTGAAGACACGAGATAACCAATATACACTCATAGACAAAACTTAAGGAAGTTGTACCTTTTAGCATGTATATCGGGATTCAGACAATAACTCTGAAAGATATTACAGTGACCTTTATTGAAGACACACGAGATAACCAATATACACTCATGGACAAAACTTAAGGGAGTTGTACCTTTTAGCATGTATATCGGGATTCAGACAATAACTCTGAAAGATATTACAGTGACCTTTATTGAAGACACGAGATAACCAATATACACTCATAGACAAAACTTAAGGAAGTTGTACCTTTTAGCATGTATATCGGGATTCAGACAATAACTCTGAAAGATATTACAGTGACCTTTATTGAAGACACGAGATAACCAATATACACTCATAGACAAAACTTAAGGAAGTTGTACCTTTTAGCATGTATATCGGGATTCAGACAATAACTCTGAAAGATATTACAGTGACCTTTATTGAAGACACGAGATAACCAATATACACTCATAGACAAAACTTAAGGAAGTTGTACCTTTTAGCATGTATATCGGGATTCAGACAATAACTCTGAAAGATATTACAGTGACCTTTATTGAAGACACGAGATAACCAATATACACTCATAGACAAAACTTAAGGAAGTTGTACCTTTTAGCATGTATATCGGGATTCAGACAATAACTCTGAAAGATATTACAGTGACCTTTATTGAAGACACGAGATAACCAATATACACTCATAGACAAAACTTAAGGAAGTTGTACCTTTTAGCATGTATATCGGGATTCAGACAATAACTCTGAAAGATATTACAGTGACCTTTATTGAAGACACGAGATAACCAATATACACTCATAGACAAAACTTAAGGAAGTTGTACCTTTTAGCATGTATATCGGGATTCAGACAATAACTCTGAAAGATATTACAGTGACCTTTATTGAAGACACGAGATAACCAATATACACTCATAGACAAAACTTAAGGAAGTTGTACCTTTTAGCATGTATATCGGGATTCAGACAATAACTCTGAAAGATATTTGATACACAGTGGCCTTTATTGAATACACACGTGATAACCAAGTGTAGACAAAATTGCCTCTGTCTCCTTAAAAAAACGATCGGCGACATCAAACACTCTCCACTTTCTCAAGTTTTGCCTATAGGTTTACACAGAATGAACAATAAAATAGTCATAAGCGATATAGTGGATTAGAGAAATCGCTAAGTAGCTTCACCACTGATGAGCCAAGCCTTCCCAAATCTTTTTCATCCTCACGTCACTAATTGTGCAAATATTAATATATACAGTTATCAGCGTCATAATCAAGCAACAATTCTTAATTCTGTCGCCGTTTGCTTTTGTGAATGGAATAAATACCCAAATATGGCCATTTTTTATAACCATCGGTGGTTCAGTGGTAGAATACTCGCCTGGCACGCGGGCGGCCCGGGTTCGATTCCCGGCCGAAGCATTTTTTTTTACAATTTTTAAAACTCATTTATATATTATACAAGAATGACATCCACGGCGCCAATTTATAATTGTAACGAATAGTATTTGAATAAAAGCATGTAATCGGGTGAACCCCGGGCGTTGCCCGGGTCATTCGGCTAGTTTCCTATATGAGGTAATAGCGCTCAATAATCACCTTCTCAAAATACATATGGCGCCATGTGTATTGTTTACTAATATTGCCTAAACAGACCTTTGCATTTAGTGTCTTCTCTTTTACTCAGAATAACATAGCAAGAGAGCGAAACAATAATATCGGCGAAATTTCTCATCAAATTTCTCTTCCTTAAGACCTCTTTATATAGTTTCGTTAAAACCACTATCATAAAGCATAGAACCTTTAAATACAAAATATATAAACAGAATGAACATATACAAAAATTCCAGCAATCTGGTGTATAAATTTGTCGAAGTCGTAGAAGGTTCATAACTGACCAATCAAGCTTTCTAAAAAATTTTTTTCATATTTAGTTCTTTTATAATATGATGCACTAACGCGCCATCTGTTATGAAAATTCGAAACTATTTTAGACACGTAAGATTCTTTTTGAAATTAAACAAGTTCTAATTATAGAATTCCGTTATATATGATAAAAATAAATCACTGTACAATTCCATCTTTAACCTACAATTTAAACATAGAAAAAAAATCTCGGAAAAGATAATCCTTGTATAGCTATTCCATCACGTTGTAAATTGTATACACAGGAAGAAGACAGACCTCCCCTCACAGTTTATCCGTATTACAACAAAAGATGATAGACGATTGGTACATGTTCAACCACAATAATGATTTCTTTAAAAAATAGACACATCGGACAGTTAAAGTCTCAACGTTTCAACAAAAATATTTTGTCTTTGTCAGGATAAATAAAAATAAAGCATTTGGCAAGGTGTTTTGTTGAAACGTTAAGAAAATAAAACTTTATCTGGCTATAGTGTCTATTTTAAAAATTAAAATATACAGTTATCAGCGTCATAATCAATTCTTTCTTAATCAATTCTGTCACCGTTTGCTTTTGTGAATGGAATAAATACCCAAATATGGCCATTTCTTATAACCATCGGTGGTTCAGTGGTAGAATGCTCGCCTGCCACGCGGGCGGCCCGGGTTCGATTCCCGGCCGATGCATTTTTTTTTTTTTACAATTTTTAAAACTTATTTATATATTATACAAGAATGACATCCACGGCGCCAATTTATAATTGTAACGAATAGTATTTGAATAAAAGCATTTAATCGGGTAAAACCCGGGCGTTGCCCGGGCCATTTGGCTAGTATATATATATATATATTTGAATCCCGGCCATGTAACCTCTATCTTTGAGAACACAATAATGATATGGTATCAGCACAAGGTGTTTATCATCAAAGTACCAGTGAATATTTGAAGTAAATTCATGAAAACAATATTCTATCAAGTCTGATGTACTCGTATCCATTCAAACTTTAAGGTTTTTTTTTCACAAATATTCATATTGAAATGTATATACTTGGAAGAAATGCCTGTGGAGAAGAGTTCTCTAACTCGAAAGCTTGCAAATTCTAATATATTCAAAAGAAACTTTTTGAGGAGTACTTGATTAAGTGTATAGTTCTGACTAAATAAAATTGGTGTTAACTGAGAAGTGGGGGGGGATATAAAGGCTTTTCTATAAAAAAGAAACATATGAAATACTAAAGGGGATCGGTGGAAGGATAATCTAAACCGTTGGTTTTCGACCACTAAGACCCGGGTTCGATTCCCGCATTGGGCACTTTTTCCTGATTAAAAAAATGCTCCAGTGGCCCCCGATCTTGAAAAGGTCTAACCCAACAGCGAGTGCAAGTAACCAAACAGGATTCTGGCACATTTGTAAATGCAATGTCAAACTGCTTTTCACATGTGCAGACATGTGGTGCACTTACAGTAAAAACAGTGGCCTACTTCTACCCACCATGATTATCATGACCTGTACCACGTGAACTAGGGATAAGCAAAAAAAAAAGATAATACTAAAATTTCGATACACCCCTATAATGATTCTACATTTAGAAAATCCGGACAAAATGTCCCCGGGGTAAAATATTAAGTTACTCATAGAAATTTTACAGAGTTGCCGAATGAAATACAAATATATGATTAATGGCTCCCTTTTAAAAATAAAAATATGGAGGGGGAGAGATATTTCGCTAATGTATCTTTTAGCATTTAGAAATAAATAAATAAAAATTCTAACGAGAGAGAGCGTAGGCAACAAGGATATATTTTTAGACCAAAACTGATAAACCTGGAGAGAGGTACTTTACGATTCCCTAGATAGACATTGCAAGGATGGAAAAGAAGAAAAAAAGTCAAAATGGGTCTTTTAAAAGGTTAAAATGTTAAAACTCCAAATGGCTTTGTGAAATTGAGATATATAAAATATGGATGTTATTTCAAAGAGATAAATGGAGAAGCCATCTATTATAAAGTAATATTTTATGAAAGATCGATTACTTAGGGTTTTTAATATTATTTAGGAATATAGAGAAATATATATAAATGGTATTACCATCAATTTGCTTTATTAAAACAACTTTGTGATTCAAAAAGGAAAAATATTAATTCTGATATTAGTTCTGATCCTCCTTTAACCCTTAACTGGACGGGTTGGGTAGATTCTGCCCATGCACTTAATATAGGAAAAATATTTTTTTCGTTTACCTAGAGCTACCAGCTTTCATGTATTCTAATTTTACAGTGATACAAACATTTTCCATTCATCGTTTATAAATTTCAGTTTTGGGAGGGGGGTTAAATTTGTATGTGGGGGCGGATTCTGCCCAGCCCGTCCAGAAGAGTGAGAATTTTTCGTGTCAGTGTTAGCTCGTGGCTCATACTTGAGTCTCTATCTTCCACTATTTATAGCTTCCTTTCATAAAATAACACTTCTTTCTTTGGATAAGTTTAAAATTTATTATAATATGCAAATGGGGCATTTTGTGAGTTATATGTAAAAAGGGAAATTGTACCGGGGATCAAGTTGATAAATTAAGATAAAGACATTTTCTCTGATCGTGCAAGTAAAATTTGCTGATATCTTGCGCGATCTCTCAAATGCCTTTCTCTTAATTTTTGGAAATTATTTGCTGAAAATCAAGTTTCTCAATGCAAATATGTATATACATAAATATGTGAAAGAATAAGAAACAAATAAAGAAAAACTCAGAAAGCCTCTAGGACCAAATTTTTGGTCATATTGGTACAGTCTGCACCACGCTGACAAGGGCCAACAGCCTCAAACGCGTACGTGGTTGGCTTCTTCTTGAATTACCCAGAAAATGGGTTGGTCAAATATCACAGAACAAGTTAAATCAACGTTTAGTTGATATTTGTTTCAGTAGATGGCGCTCTGACATGTAGAGTGAGTCAGGATATGTTTTTTTTTATTATACATATATATAATAAACCTTTTTTAAATAGATTAAAATATATTTTTTAATTAAAAAGGCATATATTGGATCAAAATATAATTTAATTTACCAATATTTCAGTTGGCTGAACGCCAACCCTTTTCATGATATTATAACATATTAATATGTTATAATACCTTGAAAAACCTTTCAGCCAACTGAAATATTGGTAAAATAAATTATATTTTGATTCAATATATGCCTTTTTAATTAAAGATCTATTTATGGATTCCTATAGTTTCCAAAAATAAAACATATATATAACATAGAGAAGCGGAAGTATGATCTTCATGTGTCAAAAGAGGCACCTCTCCCTTTGATTATGCATTAGAACAATCCGTCATGTTTATCACCATAGTAAAATACTTTAAAAGCAATGATAGGAAATGATCCAGAATAGAAGTTTTAGCACAACTTCGAACAAAATCATACTGAGTATATTTCGATATATATAGGTTCTTGTAATACGCATAGAATCAAAAAGGATGAGTTTCTTTTATTGGGAAAAACGTTTCTAGCTTTCGGGCGTAAGCGGCCCTTCCACAGGAAATAATGGAACAATTTCAAGTAAAGATGTATATACATATATATAACAGGTAATTTTTGCATATCTAGGATTAATTATGAAGTATTATATTTTATTATTTAAGAAAAATTATTGTTATGTAAATTAGTCAATTTGCTGATATTATTATTAAATGCATAATTGTAAAATGGTGTGATGAAAAAAAAACGGAAAAATCTATTTTAGTTTTTGGACCAGCCTATGATATATAGGTTCTATTTATAAATTCAATTACCATTAAATTTACTTGAAAAGGCACAATTTGGATTGTAGATTATAAACACAAGGTCATAAGATCAAATCCAACACACTATTTACTTATTTGGATTTCGTCTTGTGTTTACTTGTTACAAATTTAATATAGGGTGTTGTGTTTTTACATATTTTCTCTTTGCATATTTGTTCTTTGTGTAGCACAATTTACATATCCCATCCCTGGAAACTTTTATTTTTCCGTTTATCATTACTCTTCACAATTCATCCTTTCATACCTCATCCCTATGGTTAGAAATAATCGTTATTTCTCCTTAAAATAAATTTTGATTTTTCGTTGAAAATAAACACATGCGGGATAATTTTCTAATGTCGTTTTACAATCACAAGCCGCACTATATTATATTGAACAATTTACATAGTTTGACGTATTTGTGTTATAAATAGGACGTATGAATAAAGTTAAGGAGTCCAGTCCAGCCTTAGGAATAGAGAAGTCTTGTTACCTTAAACTTTTTTTGCTACTGTAGCTTTTAGCTTGACAAATAAATAATATCCGTTTCAAATGTAGGAGTGGTTTCGTTGCCCACACGGCATAGAGGTTCATTAAAAACTAAGAATTCCTTTTTATTATCGAATATAAAACAATAGCTTGTCGGCAATATCATAACGGTCTGGTGAATTAAATTGGCGAAATTTTTGGGAAGGCACTGATGAGCCAAGCCCTTTTCAAAAAAAGGGGCCC